TGTTTTTTGGCTAAAGCAGGCAAAAACAAACAACATCACTGAAGTGAAAAATGTCATTTATTGAAGTAAATGACGTAAAAGTAGTAAAACATATTTACAATACAAGAAAGGGGGTCAGGAAAGGGGACTTAAATATAAAATATTACATATCTTTATCACAATATTGCACAATCTGACCCCCAGCACCATAATGTCATTGTAAATGATATACAATAGAAAAAAGGGGGATCAACCAGCAGACTAATTAAGAAATCAAAACCTGGAAAAACATTGTCATGTATAGTATACATATTATATATCTTCAGTTGACCCCCTATTAAACATAAAAAGTTCTAAACATACATGAAAATAAATGTGTTACATTGCTGCCTGCTATCAAAAAAGGTGGGTAAAAGAACATAAAACACTAGCCCTATCAACTTTTAATGGACCATACATGACTTAAATAAAATTAATATACTGGCCTGTCTTATGCCGGTAGTGCAATACTGCAGAGCGGATACTCCGCCAGAATCGATGCATTGGAGAAGATGTCACAACATGATGCTCCGAGTGTGTGCGCAAATGTACACCATCCTTGCTCAAAAAGTCCAAGCTTTTCCAAAAGCCTCTGTGATGCCAAAAGTGTATATTGTCCAGTTTTTTACATTCATTCATCAAAAGTTTGTTTATGTGGATCACACGGTCATTAAAGTCATTAGATGAGGCCCAAGGTCTACGTCTAAACAATTGACCAATTAAAACAATTTGTACCCCTACACCAAGGTGAATATATGAAGCTAATGATAAAATGTCTCTTGCTATATTGTTAGGACTGCTTAGCAAAATGTCATTTTCTCCTATCTGCATAAAGCAAATATGGGGGAGCACCTCAAAATTCAACAAGTCTCTAAATAGACGACTGTCTCTTAACTTTAGCCCTCCACGGCCATTCACGGTCACCGAATATTGTTCGTCGTTGAGTTTTAGATTACTTAATTCACTTGAATTGTTCATGTAATATCCCAGGCGTCTTATAAAAGAATGTCCAATCAAAGATACACGAAGAATACTGCGATCGTCCATGTTGTGACAGTCCTCTCCGTTGCCCGGATGTAAACACTTACACAATAAAACTTACATAACTGTCTGATTTCACAACAAAACACAAACTCACTTTTGCAGGAAATCTATAGTATCTGTGAAACAAATACGTGCATCACATAACCCCAAATCTTCAGTAATATGGCTAGATCCAAAACTATCAGGGTTTTCCGGGGAATTAAAGCGAATAATACGAAAAATTGAGCAGTACAAATGACGTGACTTTCTCTTCTGGCAAAAAGATAAACAATGGACACGTGATAGCAAAGCGCTTTGCTGATTGGTTGACAACAATACGGAAAGGGGTAAATCAAGTTACATAAGTAAAGCCCGGATGACACATTGCATAAGTCTATTACAAAAGAGACATTGTTATACAATAATTTAATATAAAGAAATATACAAGAACATGTCAAATAGATAGTTTGAAAATGCGAAGTCTTATACAAATATGCTGCACGTATATGTTGACCTTGAAACTTAAAAAAAAGAAAATATGTTTTAAACCTCCATTCATTTAAAATAAAATACGACAATGGCATGTTACACTGCCAAATTTTATGAGAAAAAGATTTTACGTTAAAGATATACTGGATCTAAGATTTTGAATTGTTAAGGGAAATCCACACCGGAAGACTGTAGATTGCCGGGCTTCTTATACAGAGGAACACGACGAGTAACAAAGTCAGGGCTGCTGTGTCAAAGATGGGATGTGCAGAGCCCACATGAACAAAGTTATTTCATATTTAGTCTTGCACAAGAGAACTACTGCAGAAACTTTGACAGGGAAGAACCATGGTGTTTCACTAGTAACTCTAGCGTTCGTTGGGAACTTTGCGGTGTGAAAGTTTGCTGTAAGTGCTTGTGAACTGTATTTTAGTGCATTAATATTAATGTATTTATTGTCATTCATTTTGTATACATATTTGGTTCATTATCTTTATGAAGTATTGTATTTTTTTTTTGCCTTTAAGCTTCACCATGTCTAAACACATCGTTTGATACTCAAAAACTAGCATCTCTCTGTGTTGCTGCTGAACCAACCGGTACTGAATTTTGTAGGTAAGTTTTATTCTTTCCGTATAAAAAGATCTTACAAATACATAAAGAAAGATTTTCAATTATATAATATTAATGCATACATAAAGGATATGGAGATAACGAACAAAATTAAATACAAAAGTTCATAATACAATACAAACATAGGAGCAAAGCAAACACGGCCACCAAAACATCAGAGATGGGATCAGGTGCCATGGAGGAGTGAGAATCCCCCACCAACCGGTCATACTCGCCGTGTGCTCCCTGTCAGGAAATAACGGGCAAATCAGTCGTCAATTCTGTGTATAAATAATGGATTGACAATCAGTATGAAAAAAAAAAAAAACATCAGTTAGCATTTGATTCAATGATAAACTGTATCTGCTTACAAAGTCATTATATTGACCAAGGAAGTAACGAAATTATTATTTTAATCGAGACTGTTGATATTCCTTTTTCATCAACTTGTATGTCAATTATTTACCTCGTTTGAGAAATTGTTCATACGTAGATCATGCTCTTGCGTATCGAATCAACTGAGAGATATAAACTCCGTATGCAGGTGATGAAGGTATAATGCTGCATAAGTAAAGGAAGTTGACAACAGAAAAGTTAAAATCATAAATCATGTAGATACTTTATGAAAGTATGGATAATTTATAAAATTATTTAAAAACTTATGAGCTATTTGAAAACCAATATAGAAAATGAATTGTCCATTTAAATAGTCATCAAATTAATGTATCGGGAGCTTAGTCCCTTAAAATTTATTGTCAGTAACTTGTCACCAAAAATGCAACATTAGAATAAAAAAAGATAATTTTTTTCTCATTTATACAAACATGATATAAATTTTTTTTAGAAGAAAATTCGTTAAATCTACACATTGATTAAATTTTATAAATTTTAAAAAAAACATTGATATTCCTAAAAAAATATTTTATTTTATTCTTTTCAGTCGCTTGTGGAGAATTGTTGGATGTTTGAAGAACAGGATTGAAATTTCTACGGACATTCAATGTTCTGGGATTGAGTTAAAATCCATTGCTTTGCAAAGACAGGACATGTTTGAAAGGTTAATGGGAAGGTCACTCTCACAGTGTAAGTGGTACTTTGCCTACTGAATGAACGAATTCACATATACGAAACACTATAATAATACAGAAATATGAAAACATTGACTTCATTAATGTATGTGCGATTTAAACATTCAGAAAGAAGTAACGTGATTTCCCTTCGCAGTTTTTCAACGACAATACGTCTTTTACCACACTGCACAATGATATTTACAGGTCAACAGGTCACAAAACTACTTTCCTTTGTGCCATTCGAGTATGTCATATAAATGATATGCAATACATGACAATAATTGCTTGATTGAAATTCACTGATATTGAATTATTAAATTTGTTGATTATTTCACGTAGATGTATAATTATGTAAAGTACCCTTTGGTATTGACCCTTGAAAATGATTTTTAAGTCTGCTGGAAAACACCACAGTTTTGTCTACACGCCATTCGCATCTTAGTTAACTCGTGATCTAGCCTTTGATATAGAAAAAAAAATGATTTACTTACAATAAGCATGAAAAACTTCAGTCAGCATTTGACTCAATGATGAATTGTATACGCTGAAAAGTTCATAATATCGACCGTAGAAAATACGAAATGTTGACTTTAAACGAGACTATTGATATTCTTGTGTCATCAACTTGTTTGTCGATAATTTACCTCGTTTTAGAAATAGTACATGCGCAGAATGTGCTCTTGTGTATCACATCAACTGGGAAATATAGATTCCTTATTCAGGTCTGGACGATTTCCAAATAAGGAAGTCAAAAACGATAACCGTGAGTTGCAATTAATACACTGAATAAACAAGGCGCTAATCCTTCTGACGAATCAGATAACAGCATTTAGACAAACCCATGAGAAAAAAATAAAACACGTGGTTATTAAGGTTTCTCCTTAAAAGATTTTTTTAGAACAAACTTTTTGTAAACTTTAAGCGCAATTGGAAATAATATAATATTTATGACAATTCTACCGTGAACAAACACGACTTGAAAGCTTAAAAAACGTTTTAAGTGGGATAAAAAATATGTCACTAGGAGGTAGCAATCCTCAAAGTTTAACTTACGTTAAAAATATGATAAAAATACGGAAAATTTTCAGTTTTAAGAGCCTGACGTAAAAATCTTATCGAATAGATATCAGTCTTTATTATTTTTTGAATGTTTTTTTTTTTTTTTTTTTTTTACAAAATAGTCCATGCTGTTTCTGATATGTGAGGTAAGATATTGGGATAAAACGCATTCATGTACAATCACAGGATTCTCTTTTCTCCACTTTATAAGTCTTTCCTTACACCCATTTAAAATCTGCATGAAACCCGTGATAATTTAAAACTATATGTGTATAGTCCATACGATAAACACTTGTGTGAGTTGATCTATATACATGAAATTTAAGCATTATCGATGAAAATCGGACGGATAAGCAAAATTATATTCACAAGCATATAATATATTCTGGTAAATTTTATAATTGAACTTATAGGAACTTGTTGGTGCGATCTATAACTCCATACTAAACGATTACGTTCTATCATGCATTATTTTTTCTTTACCGAGATAAAAATGTCAAGGTTGTTCACGGTAAATATGTGGGGAATACCTTATTCTTCAAAAGTTTTCACCTTACTTCTACAGATTTTTTGTTGAAAAAATATTTTTGAGGAATAAAACAAAAGCACGTGTTATCTTTTTGTTCTTCTAAAATATGTTTATGGGGGTGTAAAAATGCTGTTGTCTGATTGGTCAGAAAAATAATTACGTTTATTTGATATCCATTTATAGCAACTTTCGGTTATCGGTCTTGACTTCCATATTTGGAAATCTTCCAGACCTGTTATTATATATTAATATAATATTAATAAAATATTAATTTAAATAATGAAATGCTTTCTTTGGTTGTTTGATAAGGCCATACCTTTGCAACAAAAAAGCGAATTAGAAGATTATTCAAATTCATTTTCACACTTTCAGGTATAAAAGCTCCATGTGCAGATCCACGTTTGGCAACTATTGAAGGAATAAAGAAATACGCAAACCCTTGCAATAAACAATACCCCCTTGAGAGGTCAACTTCAGAAACCTTGTGCGGGTAAACACTTGTACAATTGTCGTCTTACGTGTTCTTTTTTATTTCTGTGAACAGGAAAACAAATTGATATAAAGAAATACACTCAAAAATAGAACTAAAACTTTGAAACTAGGAAATGTACGTAATAGGGAAATCATTACATTATTTCTTTTATGTTACAGACTTGTTTACCGGTTTTTAATATATTAGAATTAAAAAAAAAAGAAATGATACACTTTATATTTCTTATCTCATTCCCATTTCATTATTAATAAATCAGAAGAGGTGATACGCTTCGCATGAAACTGTATAAATGTATTTACCTAATCATCAAGTCAAATATCGTTATCTTGTATTTAATTGAACTGGGTAAAACCTCGAGTTATCCGAGGATTTGAGATATCTAGGGTAAAATACTTTTAAAAAATAATCTGTAGGGAATCAATTCGACAAATACATTGTATTTGAGATAGAATTGTTCGTGTTCAATTATATACTTTCGAATTTAGGAAAAAATCATGGAAACCGTTCACAACGTAAATAAATAAATAAACAAATAAAATCGTTATCGCATGAGGTGAGAGCAACTAAGTCAAGCTCGTTATGATGAAAAGTCAATCAGTATTTTTTTATTATTATTTTCAGTAATGTTCAACGTGTAGCAAATTGTATGGCTTCAAAACTAAACGAAGAAACAAATTCCACTTGTCTGACAAAGGATAAAGTATCAACGGCAAAGGAGTTATTAGGTCTATTACCACAAGATGCTGCCAATGTTAGTCTTTGTAAGAATAGTTCTATTTATATTTTCACATTCTAATTCTTTTGTGCCAACGAATCGATTGAATACTAATTGCTGTGGATATTTTAAATTTCTTCACAAAAGATTTATAGTTGATGAGGATATTTTCCGATTCCATGATCAGTTTTAGGAATCGGTTCTTTATATTTTACTGGAAAATGGAAGTGTCTTAGATACATATAACCTTTACTTTTCTATAATACAGACTGAGGCATTTCTATTTTTTGGGGAAGTCGGTTCGTCTTTTTGGATTTTTGTTGAAAAAAAATAAAATTATTTTAGAAAATCAGGCTTGCCTTGAAAACCGAATTTTCTAGAAAAAAATAAGAAATCTAGACGGATATCTTTTTATTGAAAGAGAACACTACTCCCCCTATCTAGTGCGACTTTTTTATGATAGTACATTCTGCACATTTCAAACATCAAACTATTTGTCTCGTACAAACATATCTTTTTTTTTAATTACAATTGAAGGAGGCTCGTTTCAACATTTTTTGATGACGTACAACAAAACAAAATAAGCATGCATTGATTCGTTCGTTTTTCTCTGAAGACGAACTGTCCGGTTACCTTTATAATATGTCCCTGACCTTTAAAGCGCTTAAAAATATATGAAAGATGTTGTAAACATAACTAGGACACAGGACAAAGTAACGGATGCATTATGCATAAACTATGAAGGATTGCTTTTAAGCAGAAATCAAAGAAAACAACAGCAAAATCTTCACCAAACAAGTAATATGCAATGTCACAGCGGAGCAGTGAGGTTTATCAATTTGACATGTTTGTATGGAGGAAATTCGAGTTAAAATCTACAACCTTGTTGAAATAAAAAGAAATTGTTTACTTGCACTATTTACTGTGCTGGTGTTGATTTATATACTTTCTTTATTGATTTAAAATATATACAATGGAATTTTAAAGCTTTGTTCTGAATTTTAGATGTAATGTTCAGACGTTCCTTAGTGTTTTGAATCTTTGATAATTAGGAATGATAACTCTTGAAAGTGGACCTTTTATTCCAAATTTCTTTAGCTCACCTGAGTTGAAAGCTCAAGTGAGCTTTTCTGATTACATTTTGTTCGGCTATCCGTCTGTCTGTGGGTCTGTAAACTTTTCACATTTTCGACTTCACTGGGCCAATTTCAATCAAACTTGCCTCAAGGCATCCTTGGATGAAAGAGATTCAAGTCTGCTCAAATGAAGGGTGAAGCCCTTATTCAATGGAGATAATTCAGATATAGTAAAAAGTCGGTGGTATGATTTAAAAATCTTCTTCTCAAAAACCACTGTGCCAGGAAACATGACATTTATACTGTAGGGAAGCATCCTCAGTCAGTGTAGATTCAAGTTTGTTCAAATAATGACCCCCAGGGGTAAGGCGGGGCCATATTTGCCGTTTTACATATAAATATATAGGAAAATTTTTTAAAAATCTTCTTCTCAAGAATAGCAAAGGCATGAATGATCATGTTTATATGGAAGCATCCTTAGGTAGTTTAGATTCAAATTTGTTCAAATCATGACCTCTTGGGGTAGGGTTGGGTCACAACAGGGAATCCAAGTTTTATTTAGAAATGTGTTAAAAAAAAAACAATAAAAAAAAAAACAAAACTTTAAAATCTTCTTTTTAAGAATGGCAAAGTCATGATTACTCATATTCATATGGAAGCATTGTCAGGTAGTGTATACTCAAGTTTGTTCAAATCATCCCCTTTGAGGATTGGTTGGGATCACTTTTGGTTTGAACTTTTCAATAATTAACTGAATTTTGCTTTTTTTCCTAGCCACAGTGATCAGATGAGCGATATTGCCCATGGGTCTCTTGTTTAAATTGGAATTTTCATTTCATTTAAACATTGTTCATTCAATCTGTCTTATGCAAATTATTGAAATACATTCATTGTCTCTTCAGAGATCATTTTCCTGATAATTTATGCACAGAGTAAAAAGATAATGTCATTAATCCTTTTTTAGGTGAATTTTTTTTTCTAATAAAATTCATATTAGGTATTAAGAGGTATTTTCATTGTGTGTACTACATGTATTCTAAAGAAAATCATTTGATACCGAAAGTTCTGAAATTCTGGTAATAAAAACTTGAAATAAAAGATTTCACTAAAATTAGAAAAAAAAGTCTAAAAATTTGCCAAAAAAATAATTATGATATTTTGGATATTTGAGATCTACATTATCAGCTGTGTTGTAATGAAATCTGAAATAAACTGTGGGTGTAAGGATCCACCTTAAATCGATCACTCTGTCTCCTAAAAACATTTTTTACAAAACCTATCCATGTTATATTTTCTAAATAACATACTGAATGCCAGACTGTTTTTAAACCTATTATTTTGTATTTTCAAATATGATCTAATTTACTGTTTAAAGATTTATATCAAGTTCCACGAGTGTTTTTGTTTTGCAGGTTTATCGAAAATATCTGAGTTTCCACTGTCGACAGAAGGTATTTATTGCACGTTATAGATTTGTTATAACAATAGTATTAGATTTGTAATAAAAACAGCGTTTTATAAGATGACTTTTGACAATTCTAACCCTGCGGGTTATTGAATAATGATTTTACAATATTGTAAAAATGAACTTACTTTAAAACCGGAGAAATTAATCAAAATATTGTTTAAATTTTGTTAATACTTAAATGTGGCTCAAATTTCAATCGAGAGTAGCAATTCGTGACTTTTACAATAGAATTTTAAACTTTTTCACGTGTGGTGTGTTATAAGACATGGACTTTATGACTTTCTCCCGTTAAATAAAGCTTAAGTTTGCAGTGACTAAGAGTCACTCTAACCTATATTTACATTTCCAATGTCTTTGTCCGAGACAAAATTACAAATTGTACAAATTCTTTATTTCTATATAAATCAACTGGTTTGTTGAGATGCGCGGTTAAAAAGATCATTTCAAACAGGGTTTGGAGCAAGTGAATATTTGAAATCAAAGCATGTGAATATAAAAATTTTTGAACGATTATCAAATTGCTTTGGCGCAAAATTATCACACAAAATTGATCACAAATCCTCCTCAATTAAATAACACCATATCCTGCCTTCTTTGAGCATGTATTTAATGATAAACCGTATAGCGGGTAATTTTAGCGGGGTGCTAATTTTGGCTTATTTTGGCGTTTTGGTGATAGTCCGCTAAAATTTTAACCGTTAAAATAGTCAGTACTCTTCTTAGTGTTCATCCCCAAAGAGCCCAAACTCTACGTCCGCTAAAATAAATTACGCCAAAATTATTCGCATACCTTTGAGCAGGCAAAACGCAAAATTTTACACCCGCCAAAAAAAACCCCGCTAGACGGTAATATGTTTCTCCTGCATTAGAGAGCTATGTCTCCGAATAATCCCATCCCTGATTTCAGAGGTTCATATTTGCTGTGCTCATAATTTGAATTGTATGATTGGACTGTTGAGCATGATTATTGTTAGTTATTACCTATTCCCTACTTATACTTCCCTTTCCTGAAAATAGAATCTCCAGATTTACCAAGAGTAGTCCAGCAAGATGTGACAGAGAAATTAGATCAGACACAGTTGTTTAGTAAGTTGAGAATAATTGAATGTTACTCAATATGTGAAAATATTAATGATCTTGAAAGTGTCTTTTTAACAGTACATAGATAATGAGGTAAATCAATGACTATTGATTAATAATCTTTTTTCAGTTTACATAGGATCTACAATTGTTGTGCTTTTCGTTGGCATCCTAATTTTTAGCGTGATAGCAACGAGGTACGTACCAAGCTCTTCCATTCACAAAAACAATTATTTCTTTTTTTTTCTCAGCAGGATTTTGGGTTTGTTTTTTTTTTTCAATTATGATTATCAAACATATTCTTCACATACAATTCTTATACGCATTTAAACTTCAAACGAAGTATAATAGCTATAAATTAGGAACTAATATTTAAATCTTTAAATCTACTCTTAGTGAGGATTAAATATTGCTTTTGGTAATTCTTTAAAGGAATCAAAAACCCCATACATTATGTATTAGACTTACCTCTGTACAGGTATGTGCTATTTTGTGATCCAATCACAAATTAAGAATAAAACAATAAGAATGAAATCAATGCATTTTTAACAAGACCAAAACAGACTTCAATTCCCCACTTAACTATCGCTTTGTTTATATGTATGTAAGAGTGATTTTTTTCAAGAAAATGATTTTAAAAAATTCAGGTGGTAAATGATATAAAATGATTAACAAATAGAATATGACAGATATAATTACCAATGATCAAATATATGACACACAGCAACATTTTTATGCCTTGGAATGAATAGCAAACACGGGAAAATAAAAGTTAGAAAAGAAAAAGAAAAGAATACGTTGTAGAGTAACGACCAGGCACAACTTTGCAAGACGCAGAGCAAGTGTTGATTTTATTGTAATATTGAATGACATTTTGTTACAGAAAAATGCTCTTGAAAAAAAGACGCAAAGAACTCTTGCGCCTCCCTACTATTCCGAGAACAGCACCTAGTCCATATGAAACCAAATTTACCTTCTCAAATGATCCGCACAGTGATCCCGATTATGATATTGTTGAAGAAGAAGAGGAAAATTATGAACATTTGCATGAACTAAGGGACGAAAAGGAAACTACAAATGACAAGGAGCGAATGAGTGTAGAATCTTACGTGGATCCTAAAAACCTAGAGGTTAACTGTCAAGAAGTAATGCATTCATCAAACGAGAAAAGTTATGAGAATATTAATCCCTACATAGAGTTGATAGATGATTCAGTTGAAAGTACGGCTACAAGGGCAGAAAATGAAACTCCAGTTGATAAAGAGCGACTGAGTGTAGCTTCTTACTTGGATCCAAAAAATTTGGAGAGTAACTATCTTGAAGTAATGCAGTCTTCAAACGATGAAAGTAATTTGAATGTCAACCCCTACACAACGTTGATAAAGGATTCCATTGAAAGTACAGTTGGAACGCAAGTTAATGATGGCGTGCAAGAAAATGAAGAATACAGTAGCAGCCCTGAAAATACCAAACATCAGGAGATTGATGATTAGAAGAAATATTGACTCCAAAGTGAACTTTACCTGTAAAAGATTTTTTAATATTTATGTCATACTCTTTCTAAAAATTAATTTCAAAACGAACTCAAAAATGTAAATGAAAATAGGGGAAAATAAAGTTTTTAATGTTTTGTAAAATAAGCGATGAAAAGAGTTTCATTGTGTGTTTCAAAGGAATTAAATCATAGTCTTATTTTTGGTTAACTTTGTATTTTCACACTCTAATAATTTTCTCATTCCCTATCATTTTGTCTTTTACATTAAATTTTCTTTAATAAGATGTCCTGATCCAGATATAAGATATATAGGGAGTAACGCTATTATAATGATTTAAATATTTCTTTTGATTTTTATTATAAATATTCGTATTCATCTGCATAATAAAGATATTAAAAAATCATAATTATTTTGTTTTTAAAATAAGGGATAAAACAAGGTCCCACGTCGCAGTAGGTGTCGGCAGAAAAAAAAAATTACTGATTGTGGCAGTTCATTGTAAGTGCCGAGTATAGGTTTGAATGAACAGCCCTGGAGCACATGTTTTCTCTTTCAGTATTATAGTTTCTATTTCTCAAAAGGGCTTTCAACAACTAACCGACAAAAGAAATAAATCAGACTGATTTTGGATGCTTTACAATATGCTTAAACGAATAATATTAATAAATTTTATTTTACTGCATATACTATTCAGTTGATTCAGTTGATTTGAAATACAATGTAAAATATGGTAACATAATTCCGAGTAGAACAGTTTTAATGAAAGTACAATATGGAATATATGCCTGTTTTAATGTTTTAATAGAGTGTCAACAGGTTTCTAATTATGTCCCTGCGTGAAAATTTCCATCTCACCAACAAAAAGAGCAGACTTCTCATCGTACATGAATCACTGGACTGGTTAAGTGTTTTGATGTTCTGTAAATCAACATTTACATAACACTAGAGTAAATATTTTTGAAAGGGTCTGGGTATAAATTATTTCAACAACCCGAAATAAAAATCCCGGTTGTTAAGGTCAGATAATATATTCCCCAAATGTCTAATTGCTTAACTGGTTTCTAATTGGTTTTACAAGTTTGAAACACTAAAAGTTTTTTGTCCTAAAAGGATTATACGAGAAATGCCATCATTTTGTTTCTCGCACAAATGCCTGATAAGGAACCTCAAATTTTGGTGAGTACACATGTAAGAGTAGTATTTTAAACAATAAAATGCTCTCTTTGTTTGTTATTACTGGAATTAACGGAAGCAGCTGTTGCAGAAAAAATACATAATCCGCGTATAGCGGGTTATGTATTTTTTCTGCAATAGCTGCGACCGTACAAGTAGAATTTTCAGCGAGGATTTAATTTTTGCATTATTAGCGATGTTGCTGAGTACTCTAAAATTGAATATCGCTAAAAAAATTATAACGTTTTATTTCTTATAGCTTTTTTGGTGAGCATGTTTAAATCGTTAAAATTACATCTTGCTAAAAATAAAATACCAAATTTAAAGGTTAATTATAGATACAGGGAGCATGATCCCTTTACATAACTTTCCGCTTAGTGTACTACCCTCATACAATGCACTTGCAGCGCAAGCGCTTTGCTTCGAGTCCATCCCCTACTAAGATAGAAGACATACAGGCAACTCAGATCAGACCCCTCCTATCATGTAAACACCTGTAATGATAACACCTGTATTAAGTTCTATCACTTTATTATTGACACTTTGAGCACAAAACACACATTTGTTACAATCAACATAATTGGAGATAAAAAGGCCGCAATTTTTTGTGGGGGACGGGGGATACCTACAAATGTACCAAAATAACCATGGGCACATGGAGGGCCGAGTGTAAGCACAAGTGCCCGATCCGAACGGTCACCACGTTCTGGACCAGTGAATGCGGGACTGCCCTTCTCCCTGTCTCCAGCGCCACCTGGTGTACCCACTTACTTTACCAGACTGTGGCCTCCCCCCGCTTGTGCGAGGTGGAGGTGGACCCAGCCATGACAGGCCATGAACCACGGATGTTACCATATAATGTTACTTTAGACAACTTATGTGCTACATGTACTTCTGTATTACATACCAAAACGCCCCCCTGCTTTGAGGCAGAGTGGGGAGACAACCAGGTTATGGGGCCACTTGATCCCAACATACTAGTACACAAAAGTATCCCCCAGTCCCCGCCACAGGACATAGACACTATGTCCCCCCACAAAAATTAAGTACTTGTAATAAAACATTGAGTTAATTTGAAGGATATACATTGGTTCTCTTGTTTAAAAACGTGTAGAGCAGACTGCAGGTTATTAAGGTAAACCTCAAGACGAGTTTTTGACAAGTGGGTACCATCATGCCTGAACAATTGTATTTCCGAGATTTTAATGGTCGAGTCATTGTTTATGTAACAGCCATTAACTTCAGTAGTTATAAACTTTTTGATAGACTTGTTAACTTTGAGCCTTTTCTTTTTAATTTTTGCACCTGCTTTGGGAGGGGCACCATGCCAGGTAATATTGAAGAAAAAATTAAAGTGGTACTTGGGAGAAGTGCGTTATAGCGATACAGGCTGCACTGTATTTGATGAATAAGTTTGATGCTTGTTAAATCTGGTGTAGTTAAATCATTAGACCCAAGGCGTATCAATAGAAATTTTGGTGTAGGATACTGAAGTAAATTATCCGAAACTGCCTTGTCTAACTGATCCCAAAGCATACCCCTACGCCCTAACCAAGAAATTGTGGCAGGTAAATTAAGTTACTTCCCCCTGATCGATAGGTTGCAGCATGATGGCCTGCCCAGAATGGAATTGATTATCCGAGTATCCAAATGGTTGGGGTACCTGAAAAATCTTTGGTAGAGTTAGTAGGTGCTACAATCACAGGGGACAGCTTTACTGTCTCCTAATACAAGTTAAATATGAAGTTGACCGCCATCTTCCTTTTGCTTTTATTTCAGTATCAGAGAGACCTTGTTTGGCAAGCTCGGTTGCCATGCCAATTCTGAAACTATGTGACCTAAAGTGCCCTGTGACCCCAATGAATTGTAATGCTTTTTGTAAAATGGCTTGAAACTGGTACTTTGTAAGGGGCTTAGAATTTAGATGTGTAAGAAGCTTGTCATTTCTTTGTAACCCCTCCCTTAAAATCATAAAATTATTTAAGATTGTGATTGGGCTGATAATGGATTCCGTATGAGAGGCGATATCTATTATAACAGATTGTCCGATTTGGTCCGTTTTAGACCTTTGAATAGTAATTTGGCAAAGGTTTTGATTCTTTATTGTAATGTCTGAGAAATGAGTGCCAGTGTTTCACTCACTCTTAAAAAACCATAAAATGTAAGAGTAAATGCTGCTGAAAAGAGAGCGGATTTATATCTGGAATTGCAAACATTGGGCAGGGAATGGGTAATTTTGTGAAAAAGCTGAAATGAACTAGGGATTCTTTGGTCTTTGTTTGTACCTACTGATCTACGCAGCCCTTCCAGGGTTTTAGAAACTATGAAACATTTTGTTGTGTCCTGAAAGCCATGTATTTTGTGTATGTATGAGATTGCATTTAGGTACAGTGATACTGTTCTGTATGACATATTATTAAGTGAGAGCAAACCAATAAAATTCACGAGCTGTTGCACTGGTGCTGGCCAAATAATTTGGTAATTAAATTCTGAAAGGAAGTCTTGAAATTTGTTCAACGGGAAAATATCCAATCTGGTATATTATCAACACTAAATGCTTCCTGAACCTGCCCAATGAACAAGAGGACCGCCAATTTAGGGGCTTCTGGAAGGAATTGTCCTCGGCTATGCAGAAGCAAGCCTCACAGAAAGTTATTGACTTCCTCTCTAATACCATCAAGGAAAAGGAAAACGAGGCAAACAGAATTAGAACAGAAACCATAAAAACAATAGGATTTGCAACACCAGAAAGTGCGTCAGTCAGGGGACATTTTGATGATGAAATCCTAAAAATCCAGGATCAGAACACTAAGGAATTAGAGGAATTCCGACGTCGATTAGGCACTATACAACAGATTTCCTCCTCCACTCAACGGACTGCAACCGTATCCCGAACCCCAGGAAAAAGTTCCCACCAGCCAAGGAAGGACTGGAACTACGGAAATCGTAGGGACTTTTCCTCAGGCTATCGCCATCATGAAAAGAGAGGCCACTTCAGGAGACGATATAACCCTTATTAACGGCCGTCCCAAAGTGATTTCAATTACACCCCGGATATGTGTTATTTTTTGACAACAGCACAAACATTTGAAATTTGGATCATAATAATTGTAACTACATGTGATACCTTAAGAACTTACGTAGTATCTGTGCATTTCCTTTGATATCCGTGAGAACTACTATTACTATTAAACAAACTGATTGAAAGCTTGAAAATGGATTTCAAAAAATATTTCCCAGTGAGGTTTATTATATGTTTTGACGGATTTGATTAACTTATTCCCCCAGCTTGGACATATTATGGATTTTAAGCATTGTACAAGCCGTATCACGATAAATGATTTGTCTAATTAATACATATACTTGTACATTCTGAATAATTAGACTTCTATAATCCATTTGACTGATCAAAGAATTATATTTTTGTTATATTGTATATTTTGTTCTTTGTATTACAATTTTAAAAGAGTCCTGAACTTATGTTGTTTACTCAGATTTCTGACCAACAGGTGGTCATTCATTGGTTGACTGTAGTAGCTTCAATTTGATTGAAGGGAGGCGTGACCCTTCTCTTGCATCGAGATTCTGACATTGCTTCAAATTAGATTAGTGCACGTTAGCACCACAGGATTTACTCTGTGCCATCTATTTGTTTATTTTCCATTTATATACGGATATTTCATTATCTATTACTTTAATACCTTATACCCTCTATTAATGCGCTCAGACGCATTATGGACGTGGTGCTCTAGATGTTCAATTGGCGCTAATTGTTTTTAATTACTGACATGCCTTACACCCTCTCTTAATACGCTCAGACGTATTGTAGACGTGGTTATATTACTAAATCATTTCAAATCGACCAGCTTGCCCTCTATTAATACGCTCAGACGTTTAATAGACGTGGTACTTTTTATACTTATTGGCTAAA